GGCTTTTTTTGGTTTTTTGGTGGTACTGGGATTTTGCCTTGCACTTGCTAGGCAGACATTTTACCACTTGACCACAACTCCAGTCATTTTTCCTTTAAGTTATTTTTCAGATAAGGTCTCATTTTTTGCATGGGCTGGCTTGGGCCTCGATCCTCCTACCTATGCTTCTTGTATGGTTGGGATTGCAGATGTGACCACGACACCTGGCTTATTTATTGAGATGGGGTGTTGCTAACTTTTTGCCCAGAGCTGGACTGAGACCCCTATCCTCCTACCTATGCCTTCCTGGTAGCTACTATTACAGAAGTGCACCACCACATCTAGCTTGTTGGTTGAGATGAGGTCTAACTTTTTGCCTAGGTTATCCTTAAACCCCAGTCCTCCTAATCTCAATTTCCCAAGTAGCTGGTAGTACAGGCACAAGTGACCTCACCTGGCGTAATGTTTATTCTTGTAAGAAACTACCAACTTGCATTCTGAAGTAGCTGTGCCATTTTTTATTCCCACTAGCAATGAGTGAAAGTTCTGTTGTTCTATGTCCCTGTCATCATTTGGTGGCAAGAATTTGTCAGTGCTTTGGATTTCTGCCATTCTAGTCAGTGTATAGTGGTATTTCTTTGTTGTTGGTTTTTATACATATACATGTATGAAATATGTATGTAATTGTGGTAAAATAAACACAACATAAATTTACCTTAATCTCATTAAGTGTACAGATTGGGAGTACTGAGTACAGTCACACTGCTGTGTAGCCAATCTCCTATACTTCATGTTGCAAACTGATTCTCTGTAATCTCTGTATTAGTTTGACAAAGCTACCATAACAAAGTGCCACAGACTGGGTAGTTTAACATTTTCTAAGTCTGAGATCAAAGTGTCGGTCAGTTTGGTTTTTTCTGAGACCTGCCTCCTTGTCTAACAGATGGTCACTTTGTCATGTTGTCATATGATCTTTTTCTCTGTGAGCACCTGTGACATCTCTGTGTGCCCAAATTTCCCCCTTTTTGTAAGGAAAAAGTCATTTCATTAAAGCACATCCTGAATCATCTTTTTAAGACCAGGCCTTATTTTCAAATACAGTTCCACTTTGATGAATTAGGGAGGGGCACAATTCAGCTTATAACGTCATTAAACAACTTCTATTCTCTGTTCTCTTAGCACCTGGCACCCACTCTTCTCTTCTACATTCTGTCTCTATGACTTCTTTAGGGACTTCATGTAAATAAAATTATACAGCATTTGTCTTTTTGTGTCTGTCCTCTTTCACTACATGTCCTCAGGTTCACCTATTTTGTAGCCTGAGTCAGAATTTCCTTCCTTTCTAAGACTGAGTAATCCTTCTCTCTATACCCCATTTTATTTATCCATTTACCCACTGATGGACCTTGGGCTGCTTCTACCTTTTGACTTGTAAAAAATGATGCTATGAACACAGATGTACAAATATCTCCTCAAGACCCTACTTTCAGTTTTTTGGATATACAGCCAGATGTGAACTGTCCTGAGAATTTCAAAGCAAGTATTGAAGCTCTCATCTGACCCACATACCTCCCCTTACCCTAACTGCACCTCAAAATCTTTACTTGGCATTACACACTAAAGCCTCAGGTTAAATTATCTGTTTGGTCTGTGCATTAATTGGATTGTCTTAAATGGAAATGAGTCAGGGATCTGTGAGATAAGAAACACCATAAATACTTTAGCACATTTGTAACTTAAACAATTATAATAAAAGAGATAAGCAATCTAGAGCATGTGTTAAAAATTCAAGGTGGCACAAAAATGGCAAATAAAATGCAGAAATTCAGTTACAAATTTCAGAACAAAAAGACACTTAGTCATGACTTAGTCTTTATAGTTCTTCACCATCCTAGCTGTGGAAAAATAAAATCCTAGTTTAACTTGTTAATATGGAATTTGCCATCACTATTGTCATTTTCAATGCAGGAGCGCTTTTCTAGCTTATGTAAATTTATGCATTCTTTTTTTGTTAAGAAAGATTCAATGCCCTTACATAAATGAAAACTTAAAAAGTTTAGTTTTTAGGACTACTAAAAGGCAGTATAGGACACAGATTAATAACCGGTCAACTTCAAATATTAGCTCTAACTTACTATTGCATGACACTGGCCAAGTTACTTATCCTGTCTTTAGCCTACTTAACCTAATATTTTTCTCAGCTTAAACAAAAAAAATGGGAATACAGTATGGACCACACTTTCGCAGTTGTTAAACAGATAAAAACTATTTACTGTATGTAAAACGCCTAGCATATAACAAGCCTTCTTTTCTTTTTTTCCTTTTGTGGTGCTGGGGGTTGAATCCAGGGCCTCTTGCATGTGCTCTACCACTGATCTACACCCCCCAGCCCCTATATAGTAAACTTTCAGTACTTTACTTATATTGGCACATTAGATATATTAGCATAAATTGGCAAACCACACAACTCTAAAGGACTGTGATACAAGATACAACTTCTCATCTCACTCCAATAGAAAAATTATGACTACTTTACACTACTGAAAATAAGACAACAAGATGAAAATGAAGGTGGGGAGATATTGAGAAAAATTGTTTCAAAACATTTCAAATGTACTTCTATCCCTTCCTAAACATCAAACTATACCACAATAGCTTTTTAAGAATTGATTTGTTTTGATAAACTTTATCTTCAATTGGTTGTTATTAAGAAATGTATCACTAAGATACACTATTATGTTCTTATTCTTCAATAGAATATGTAATTTAGAAAAAAATAGCATCTATAGGGTCTTGGATATTTTATGCCTATCCAGGATATCTGGATGTTTTATGGGAAGACAAATATAATTTTCTTGTATTTTCTGATTTTCACAAAAATTGTTTCACACACACAAAAAAATTGTTTCCCTGATTCTGTTCAAAAATGTCTCAGGTGTAAAACTTAAAAGTATCAATAGCTTATGTAGAAATATGTCCCGTCCCCAAAATGAGAGTATAAGAAAAAGAAAAAATGTGTCTTTATAATTTCAAATGACAGGAAATGTATGATTATCAGTGTCAGTCATCATCGATATGTATTACCAAAAGTCTTAATGATCTTTTACTATGATGAGCAATAAGAAACATCATTGAAGAGACATCAGTGTAAGATTTTTACATACATAAGATTTTGTATGTATATTTGTGAATGGAAAATATATGCAAATAAGTAAAATGTGTACTTTATACATAAGAAAAAAATACTTTTGACAATATTCTTGAACTATAAAGTCACTAATATACTAGGACATAATTTTACTACAGAAATCTTTGAATTTTTAGGACAGATCCAGGAAAAATGAAACAATGTTGTTGTGAAACATCCAAGTCCAGTTCTTACTCACTGCCCTGTAACTTCTGTAGAGCAATTGTATGGCCACCGAAGAAAAAAAGGAAGCTAAAGAATTTGAAGTCAAGCAAGGGCAAAATTCCAACATATTCTGAGGCAAGTTTAGGGAGAAGCTCTCAAACTTCAGTTTCACCTGGAAACCCCCAAACTTCCCTGATTTCTTATACCAGAAGTCACGAGGTACACGTGACTTTTACTTTGAATAGCAGCTTTCAATGTTTTTAACATCCTTAGTTTTCTCTGATGACCTCATGACTTCCGGTGAAATTCTTTAAACAGAATCCATTAGAATTCACTACAATTTAAATAGTATACATGCCATGAAAGCACTTTTAGGAAAGAAGGTGTGTAAAGAAAAAAAGAGTACAAAGAATTTCGAAGGTGAGAATAATTCCAAGAATAAAATTTCAAAAATTAAGATAGCAGAAACTGCTTCCCAAAATGCAGAGTATGTGCATGTTCCATTTGAATAAAATAGAACAATTCAGTCATTGATTACTGCTGCATCCAGGGAAGGGAGAACACATTCAAAGACAAGGCTCCCCTCTGGGATTCTCTGGGGATGGGCCCCTTGCACAAGTCTGGAGTTGGCCGGGACTGGCCCGTACACCCAGGGAGTGGTGCAGGACTCTATGCTCACACGCCCTTGAGCCAGGCGGGTGGTGCGGGCACTCCCCGGGGTACCGCACCAACACTCCAGGAAGGCCAGTTTAGGGAGCCAAGGGCGGGGTTTGCAGTGCCGATTGACTCCTTAGCACTTTTCGTTTGTTGCTAAGCTTTGGTTCCTTCTTAAACTTGGTGCGCTGGATGAATATTAATTCAAGCGATCGCATTCTCTTTTTCCTTGGCGCTGTGGAATCCTTCCAAACCCTGCCTGGAACGGTTAAATCAATGTACAACCGAACAGCTTTTGATAATTGTTCTTGTTTGAAAAATCTGAACTGTAGCAAAGAAGGAAGGAAGCACGCGTCCTCACAAAACAGGAGAAAGTTTATGAGCGCTCCCACCTCTCTGGCTGGAAGTTAGAGCACATCCTTTTCCGTGGGATGGCAAATCACACTTTAAAAATCTGTAACAAACTTAAATCACAAATCAAATCTCCCTTCCTATCCATCAAACGATGAAAAGAAGTGTACAATGAAGCGGCTTCTTTTTTAATTATTATTATCATTACTCTTCTTATTTTAATGGGGAGGGGTCTGAAAAGAAATTGATGTTTTTCTTTTCATCCGGGAAAGGAAACACAGGGACAAGGTCCCAACCGAATCCGTGTAAAGAAACCACCCTCCAGGGTGACTCCGGGCACGGTCGGTCCCCCATGGGCTTCTCTCTGTCGCAGGTGGCCGTGGAGCAGCCACGACCCTTGGCCCGGGGTCCTGCCGCGGCGACCGAGGCCACGCGGGCGCGCTCAGTCTCTGGCTCTTTGTCGCGAGCGCCGCGCGGCGCCGGCCGGGGCCATCCAGGTCCCCCGTCCTCCCTCCCCCATCCCAGCGCCCAGGGCGGGCGTGGAGCCGGCCACATGGCCCCGGCTCTCGCGTTCCCTGGTCCCCACAGGGAGCGTCCACCCCCGGCCGCCCAAGCCACGCGTGGGGGCCCCGAAGTTTGCCCCATCCCCGCCTCTCGAGCTCACCGCCTTGAGATCCAGGACGCCGTCCTTGGCCTCCTGCAGCAGCGACACAAACTTGGTGGTTAGCAGCCCCAGGCTCTTCTCGTGCCTGCTGCTCCCGCCCCCGACGCCCCCGAGCTGCGGCGGTGGCTGCGACGCCTGCGCCTGGGCAGGCTGCGGCTGCGGCCGCTGACCCTGGGCCTGGCCCTGCGGCGCCTGCTGCCCCGAGCCCGCGGGCTCCGCCGCTGCCATCGCGTCCCGGCCCACGGGGGTCGGCCCTGCCCACGGCCACCTGCCGGGTCGGCTCCGCCGCGGCCGCTGGGACCGACGGTGGCGGGCTGCGCTCCTCGGGCAAACGGCAGGTGCGGGCGCCCGCGGGACTCGGCCGCTCGGGGCCGCTCGGCGCCCCGGCCTCCGCCCCCTCCCCGAGCCCGAGCCCGGGCAAGCGCGAGGGAAGCCCACGACCGAGGGGAGGGGGAGTGCAAGCGAGGAGCAGGGGCTGCGAGGGGGTGGGGACCCGAGTTTAAATGGCAGGAAGTGACGCCGCGGCCCGCCGTTGCTTGGAAACGCATTTTTCTGTCCACAGGAGGAGCGCGGGGAGGAGGGGGAGTGGCGGGGAGCTTCTCGCTCACCTCCTGGCTGCCTCCGGGAAGGGCGAGCTCGCCAACAACGCCCGAGGGAAAAGAAAAAGAAAAGAGAAAAGCTGTGAAGTTGCCTGGCTTCTCAGCTACGATAAAGCTGCCCGGGATGAGCGGTCCCTCACTTTCTGTCACTGGGCAGCTTCAGCATCCTTTGCAAACATTTCGGTGACCTGGACTAAGTGCAAAGTTTTATTCCACAGCTCATCTTTTTAGATGACGAATTTGGGGAAAGAGGGAACAGGGAGGGTTTTTGTTTATCCTCATCAGCAATTGTTTCCAAAGCCTGTAATTCCTGGAGTAACTGACGTGTGGAGAGAACAGTGGTGAATTGCCCAAATTCTTGCTTTACTTCCGGATCATCTGCCTTTAAACAGTGTTCTTTACCAAATTATACTGTGTCACTGATTCCTATTAATAGTAACAATACTACTACTGCTGCTAATAATAATTAGATTCTCCCAGGTTCTTGTGCCTCAGTGATAATCTAAACAAATTATTGGTGGTAAATGCGATCACATAGATCTGAGTAAAAGGAAGGTGTTTTGTTTTCTCATTTTATTTACAGGGCAAAATTTTAAATAACTCGGTATCACACACAGCACTTTGGATATAGTTCACACTTAACAAATATTAGGTGAACAAAAGCTCCATGTGGCAGCAATTAATGACTGAAGGTAGTTTATACAAGAAAGTGTTTAATTTAGCAATAAACTAGCAAAAACGATCACTAAAATAAGGGGGAAACTGACAGTAGTATTAACTAGTAAAGCTAGACACCATTGTTAACAAAAATGTTATGTTTCCCATTCACGGGCACAGAAATTTACTAATGACCAGATAGCCATTGTTTTGATCAAAGAACACTGTAAACAAATCTTGGGGTTAAGAATCTGAAGTAAAATGGGGATGTAGCACAGTGGTAGGGAGATTACTTGCCTATGATGTGCAAGGACCTGGGTTCAAGCCCCAGCATTCCCCCCACCCACAACCACACACACACCTGAAGTAAAATGTGAAAAAATCAGGTAATACAACCACATTTGAACAATTTAGCTGAGAATGGTTGTACCTACAGGATTTGACATTAGCCAAATAGTCAACAGATTTTGCAAATTAATTTTGTGGTTCTTCTATAGTTTTTTTCATAGGTTGTATTAATTTGAAGAGGGAACATATGCAAGGACAGTGATTAATAAAAAGTAAAGTATTGCTATTTCTAAGACAATTTATGTGAATCTTAGTAAGTCCAGGCTACTATAAGTGTCATAAACTGGGTAACTTAAGCAATAGAAAATTTTTTTTCTCACTTACGGAGGCTGCAAGTCCAAGATCAGAAGGCTGACATGACTGGGTTCTGGGGAGGAGCCTCTACCTGGCTTGCAGCTGGTGTCTTTTCACATCATGTCCTCATATGGCTAAGAAAGAAGCAGCTTTCAGATTTCTCTTCTTCAAAGGGCACAAATTCCATTGTGAAGGCCCCTCCCCCTCATGACTTCATCTAACCCTAATTACCTCCCCAAAGCCTCATCTCCAAATTCCATCACACTGGGGGTTAGAATTTTAATACATGAGTTTTGGGGAAACTCACTTCATACTATAGCATGTAGAATTACTTTATAACAACTATCTTTGTAATTTTGAAAATGTATTTTTAATGTTATTTTTAAAAGATTTTCTATAAAACAGTTACCTCTGTTGATAACCCTTAATGATTCCAATAGGTCACTTAAAATTTTTTTTGCAGTTATCTGTGTTTTTCACAGTGAGTATTTCATTTGTTTAATTTGCTAGTGTTCAAATGAAAATATTATCAACCATTTCAATTAGCCTTAAAAATCTTTGTGCTTTTTTGCCTGAGATGCTAAAAGTCATTTAAAAATCAAACTTTAGAGAGAAAAAAAATCATCTATAGTGTTTGTTATAAATGCAGATTCTTAAATGCAAACTCTAGAGATTAAATTGGTATTTGATATGAGAACATGATGTGGAGGTTTGCATTTTTCAATTTCACAGCGTCGCCATGCACAGTCACTCTTTTGAGAAACAATGACCAGCCCAATGCAATACAAAGAAGGATAGCTTTTTTCTAAAGGACAAGGATACAATGAAGGATAGCTTTTTCTCTGATCTGATGCTGAAGATCAGAGATTGATAATTGCAAAAGTCTTTTTAGTATAGCTGATACTTTTTGAAATTTCTATTAATAATATGATTCTTAGACCTTTGTCAGAATACAAATAACCTTCAAGAAAATGCTATTGGTCACTGGTTTGTAAATATATTAATCTAACTCTGAATTCTGTGTCCTTTGGGTATAAAGGAGACAATTCTTGGAAGACTGTCAATTTCTGTACAGTTATTTGTGCCAATTCTGACAAAAATATAAGAATTCTTTATGTCAAAAATCAAGGCTTATACATATTGACAGTCAGATTTTTGTATACTGTAATAATCCAATCAAACTAGACCATATTTTACTGGACTGTAGGTTAATAAATACATGACAGTAATCCTTCTTCAAATTCAGATTAATTACACTGGATTGATGGAGAAGATATTATTATTTATTATAATATTTATATGTTTCTGATTAAATTTTCATGCATTTTGGAAGTTCAAATCATTAGCTAATTCAGGACTGGGGGATATAACTTAAGAATTTTGAAATCAACAGAATAACTTTTTAGTCCATAGGTTGTTGGACTTAAAAGTATCTAACATACATAGAACTTCGCACATGTCATTTTCATAGATAACCAGTATCAACTCAAAATATATACAGTTTTGTCATAATATAGTAGTTAAATATTTAAGAAAACCCAATTACAATTTTTGCCTCTTGATGGTGGTAGACTGAGTTTTAAATGTATTCGTTGGTTTTCATCATGGTCAGTTGCAACTTTTAACTCTCAGATCACTCTTGAGCTAACAAACCTCCATCAAAAGACTGTGTATATGAGCCTTATTTCCCTGCTGTTACGATCTGTTTTAAAATAAAACGTGGCTTTCCATTTTCCTTTTCAGAACCATACAACACACAAACATATATCTTCTGCACTTTCTAGGGTTAAAAACTTAGACAAAAAGATATGTTTCAAGAATTGTTAATCCTCTTTTAATAAATGACACAGTCACCATATGCCTGATGTAACAATGTGGTAAATAATGCAAAGATTTGTTTTCAAGTTTGTACACTGCAAGTACAACAGGAAATACAGACTACATTTAGACATACACAGAAATATAATTTGCACACATCAGAAAGCTTTTATTTCTATTTTTTGTTAGTATTGAAATTTGAATTTAGAACCACACCCTTTCAAGGCAAGTGCTCTGTCTACATCTTGAACCATGCTCCCAGCATCAGATAGCTTCTAAATCTTACTTAGTGACTTCTACTCTTCTTTATCACTTTGACAAAGCAGCTTACAAAAGAGCATATATATTAAAAATGTGGCCTGTAAAATTAGAAGAAATGAAGAAATTGTTGCTTTTAATGCCTCTGGAAGAGTAGTACTGAGAATTTTAATTAATGCTTGTGATCTAATATATGGAGTCTGAACTTCCATATATTAGAAATCATACATATTCAAGTATAAGCCCAAGTTAGTTATGACAAAAATAATTCACCTAGAATACTATAATCTGAAGAGAGTGGGCACACAGATTTCATAAGCAAGCTTCTACTTGCTTATGCTCCAACAGCCCGCTGTCTACTCTTGGAGATAAAACAGGAAGACAAATTATGGTCAAACATTTACTGAAGCTCCATGCCATTAAAACCTTCCTGAAAAACTAAGTTGCCAGGAAACTCTGGAAACACTGTTGATACCACCATTTCTTTGAAACTTTAGTAAGATAAAAATGCTTATCACTAAACCACCAAAGCATAAGGTGACAGCTTGTCACATAAAGACCTCCTGTTTACCATGTATTGTGCAGTTAGGAGCACAAACTTATACATAATACTTCAGATGCAAACCCTTTACCAGCTGAGTGATGAAAATTTTTGGATTTATCACCAAAAAATGTGTTCTTTTTTTTTTTGTTTTTTTTGAGTGCTGGGGGTTGAATCCAGGGCCTTGCACATGCTAGGCAAGTGCTCTACTTCTGAGTTAATCACACCCCTTAAAAGAGACTGATACTAAGTCAAAAGCTTTACAGTCAAAAGATAATTTGTCACTAATATGGAGTGTTCCACACCACTCCATTCCTTGTGCAGGAAACCTATATTTCTACAATGGAAAATTGAAACACCCAAGGCAATGCTAAGAGGTGTCTGAGAATTACCTAACCTTGACAAAGGTACCGTCCTATCTTGCTCTACTGTAATAATTTTATTTATAAAAATATATTTACATAATGACATTTAGTCTGTTTATTAAAATGTTAAGTAATTTATTCAGCAAAACCTCAGACTCATAAATGGATGTTTTTTAATTTAAGCCATATTAGCCATATCCATTACCAAACACAGTAATACACGTTTTTTAGAATCTCTGGGAAGGGAAATGCTATGTAAAGTGAAAAAAAAAAAGGAAAAACAGAAAAATTACCTTTTGGCCTTTGGACTATTTGTCAATAATTTATCTTCCTTTTCTATTCTGTACCATTAGTGTTAACATGATGGTTTGAGCTGATAAATGGTAGAATTATTTTTTAATTATAATGACATAAATAATTTATGTTGATTAGAAAAAATTTAAATAAACACAACCAAAATGTAAAACTAGTGATATCATTTGTGTCATTTTAATTGTAGATAA